TTCATAATACTGCAGTTTATAATTTTAATTATTATATTGTTTTTTCAATGTAAAGACCTACTATACTGAACAAATCTAATCACTGTCGATTGTAACAGATTCTTTTAATTCTGATTCATCAACATAATGATTCTTTGAATTTCTTTCTTCTGCAGACTTTACACACTACAACAATTTATTAATGAATTTATTTAAATTATTATTAATTATTGTATTCAAAATTATAATTACTATTTTATCAAATATATTTTCTATTTTATCAAATATATTTTAAAATTTTGTAAAAAATTACAGAAAAACTTACATCTTCAATTCTTATACGAGGTGATGCAATTTGTTCAGGAAAATGCCAAGGTTTATAATTTGGATTATTAACTAATTTCCAATTAGGATAAGCTACAGAAGCTTTATGTAACTTTTTAACCATCTAAAATAAAAAATATAGTTTAAAAATTTAATATAAATAAACATAAAAGTATATACCTTTGGAGCAAATATTTGTGTAATTTTATTAACAAGCCAAACTGGTAATTTTCCATGTGGATCAGTATGAGATACATAACCCAATTCAGAACCATCACCATTTCGAGATGGTCTTACAATATATCCTTAAATTAAAGAATTTAATAATGAAATAATATAAATACATAGATAAATAATGAAATTTATATTTCAAATTTTACCTGTAAGATAAGATGTTGCCCGAACAAATTGTTTTCGTGGAGGATAATCTTTATGAAAAACAGAATGATTCAAAATTAATTGCTCTATACCAGTATCAAGCCATGACCTTTGTAGAATAAAATCTCTGTTTTTCAATGGAGATGGACAGGCCACTAATTAATATATATATATACATATATATACATATTATTTTTATATAAATAATTATAATCTCTTTATATAAACAAATAGAATTAATCAATAGTATTAAATACTTGCTTGAATAATAACCAATATCATTATTTGGATTAAAAAAACCTATGTCTTTTGATTCAATCATATGAGTATCCCAAACCTTTCGATATTCAGGATCATGTAATACATCATATAATGTTTCTGGAAGAACATCAGGAAAACGAGTTCTAATCTGTAAAATATTTAAATAAATAAAATTATAAATAATTTTAAAAGAATTACAAAGAATAATAGCAAATTAAAAAATTAATTAAAAAATACCTACTTTTACCATTCTAAAACTAATTCCTGATACAGATTTTGTCCAAACTGATAAATCAGGTTTATTATAATCTAATCTCCAATCATTATTATTATCATACAATTGTTTCAATTTCTCAAAATCTTTATCTTCAGCAATTTTAACAATTCCAATATCCATTTTATAAGAATATTGTCTATGAAACAATCGATATAATTAATATATAAATATATAATTTTTAAAATAAATACAATGACATAAATTTTTAAATGAATTTTATGAATTACTATTATCATAATTTGATAAAAAGTTAAAAATGAAAATACCTGTTATTCATAGAGTTTTTAGAAGTTTAATAAAAAATCTATGCATGTTCAGATCTGGTACATAATAGGCTTTACATTTATGCCAGAATAATCTTTTAGCAGTCCTAATCATTGTTTTGATTTCCAAAGGTAAAAATTAAATATATTATACTTGAATTTCATTCATACTAAAAGAAAAAAGTAAAAATATGCTAATTTTGGGTGAATTAATATAATGAATTGAAATACCTTTTGTCTAATAGAATACATTTTTAATTCTGTCACTACTAATCACTCATTATTGAATCATTAATAATTGTATAATAACAATATTATAAATAATAACAATAGTATATAATAAAGTTATAAGTAAGAATGATAATATAAATAAAAACAAAAATTTAAATAATTCGTATAAATAATATTTTTTATATTTTCCTGAAATTACAAACAAATAATCTGGATAATAATTTTCTAGCCTCGTATAAGTATACATACCTCATGTATATTAAACTGATCACTATTTACAACATAAGAATATTTTAAAAAATTAAAAATAACTTATTTTATATATTTAATTTATAAATCAACACAAATTGTGTATAAAAAAATATTTATAAAATTAAATTTTAATCCATATAATAAAATCTGCACTGAAAGGATCTACTGACTTATGTCTTGTTACCGGTGTGATATATATTATTAACAGGTTAGTCGGTATTTAACACATCAATGAGATTATCTTTATATTTACGTTTTCTAAGTTTTTATTACATTAAAATATCATTTAATATTTTTATTTAAAGAATATTTTATTTTATTCGTAAGTATCTTAATTTTTAAATAAATATTGTTGAATTTATTTTACATATTACATTTTACATATAGTTTTCTTTATATTTGATAAATACATGTCGATATGTATATCTTTTTAAAGTTTAATATAATATTAATAATAATTTTTTATATATATTCGTAAATCATCTAATTAAA